AATGCCTTCACCATATGACGGACAGACGTCGTGGGCCATGTACAGAAGTCAATTCGAGACTGTTATTGCTATTTCTTATGGCTGGAGCTGCGATATCATGGCTACAGGGTCGATTGTGGCATTACGTGGCCCTGCCTTAGACCTATTAGAGACTCTTCCGCCAGCTTCCTAACAAAACTATGGTACGCTTGTCGATACGTTAGAGTGTCGTTATTGGAGATCAACAGCGAAGGAAGACCAGGTACAACTAAGAACAAGGCAGCAAAAAGCTGCAGAAAGCTTACAAGAATTTCAAACAGACATTCGCCTTTTCATTAGTTTGGCCTATAGTGACCGAAAATTTTAGATATGGAATTAGAGATATGGATGTACAGAGAATGTTGCTGATAACCAAACCATCAGTAGCAGCGAAGCTCTATCAAGGTCCTAGAAAGTAGAAATCGATGGAAGCAAATAGATAAGAGCTTTAAGAGCTGTGTCGATACGTGAACAAAAAGAGCCAATGAGACAAATTGAAGCCACCATAATGAAGGAGTTTCTGGAAGAGTTATGGATGGCTGTTATCAGAATCAAACTAGGGAACTTGGAAAGGAGCATTAAATGTTAGGTACCTACAGCTGCGGAAGAAGAGGGCAAACTTATGTCACCATACTTCCTTGAAAATTACAAAAACTCTTGGAATAACGGATACTTGCTGGAATTGCATAATATCCGATAGACTGATGCCGATACCAATCGAACCTAATAATGTTCACCCTACTCAGAACCGACCGCAATAATTGGGTTTTCCAAGAAATCATCAATCTTCACGTATGCATGCTTATTAATCCCATAGAAGCTCTTTATTAAAAAAAATCAGGTTGAAAAGGAACAGGTATAGGTAAAACCAATAATTTTAAAAAGAAAACATTTAATTAAGCTAAATAAACGAACAAGTTTTTCTGTAATTCCTCCTCCTAGGGCACAGCCACAAACAATTTATTTGGTGTTTTATAAGAGCTATTATTACAGCTTGGCAGAAAACATTTTTTTATTGCCATTATTTTCTATACCAATACGCAACGCAAATGACAAATATAATAATTTGTTAAGTTATGTGCTAAAAAAAAAACAACTTCCAGACGAAAACACTTGCAACCCCAACATCCTAAAACAGTTATGCGCTTGAGCAGAAACCATTGTGACGTCCGAAATAGGGTTGTCGCAAGGATGATACACACCTATTAACAAGGATTGCTTATCGGCCTCGTTTTTGGTAATCGCCGCCATATTGGTGTGTTACTATTTCCAACGTCATACTCATAACTAAGTCGTCAGCTGTTTAAACAGCCTACGTCAAGGCGAGAAATAACATGCTGGTCACAACTGGTAATTTGACGTGGGGGGGGGGGAGGGGGGAATTGTTACACACGTACAGACCCCTTGAGGATAGGCCATCCTGTAGTAGTAGTGTGTATCATCCTTGGGGTTTCTATACGTCCGGATTTACCCGGATATGTTTGGGTTTTTACGGCGTCCGGGGAAGTCCAGAAGCAATTCGGAACAATGTCCGGAAAACTCGGAGATCGTGAAAACAACCTATAACTTTGTTAAATATTTTACGGTTATTTATTAATTTCTGTAAAAATGAATTTTTGCAAAAAACAAACAAAATTCATCCTTTATAAAAAATTTAAATTATTTTTTTCCACTACCGTGCGCAAAGTACTCACTTTACGCAGGGCCGGTTTAACCAAGGGTCTTTGGGTGCTGTAGCACTGGGCGGCAAAATCTTAAGGGCGGCGCGCGAAGCGCGTTATGACCCTTAAAATTTCAATGTATCCTCTTATTATTACTTTTTTATTTCTTGAACCATAATACGAAAAATCTAATAAATCAAGGTGCGGACTGTTTTTTCTGGGACACCCTGTAAAAAAGAATTGCATACATTTTTTGGAATAAATGCTCCAAAAAAGTTATTTTGTTTTTTTTCTAAACGGGCGGGGGCGCTGCGTTTTTGTAGCACCGGGCGGCAAACTACCTTAAACCGGCACTGACTTTACGCACTATTCAAAAGATGTAAAATTTCACTTCACGCACTAGTAAGTACAGTAATTCACTTTACACTTTAGCTTAATATAGCTAAATATTAAAAGCTTCACAGCACATAGAATAGAGCTGGCATGGATTGTAAATAAGTGGAAACCAATAATTGTTTGTTTAACAGAAACACATATAACAGAGGAACTGCAGGAAAATGAAATAAATATAGATGGGTATAAAGGAGTGCATGCATTGTCAACAAGCAGACATAAGGGAGGGTCATCGATTTATGTAAAGGAGGAATTTTATTACAAACCAACAATGAATATTGTTATAGAAAAAAATATGTGGCTCACTGGAATAAACTTACGTTTGAGTGCTTCTGAAAAAATTTTATTTGACGTATCCGAGAGAAAAGTCAAGAAAGTGTCAATTTGAGAATAACAGGGCCAGAAAATTGTTTCTCATTTAGCCCATGGCAACTTTTGACAGTGAATATTTCGAGAACTTCGATTTTCAAAAAAAAAAACGCAGTTGTGAAGGGAATCAAAATACCTTTAAAACAAGGTACAACTCGACCCATCTTCCCTATCTAAAAAAGAGGGGTGAAGTCGAAGAGTGTATATATTTGGGAGTCATGATAGATGAAAATCTTACATTTTCTAGTCATGCATGGACTAAGCTACTTATATACAGGGTGTCCACTTAGTGCGATATCGGACGATATCTCCTTACAGGGTGATGCAAGAAAAAAAATTAAATTACATCGTTGTTTGATACTCTAATATGCATTAGTTAAAAATATTTTTGAATATACAGGGTGCTCCGTTTATGGGGTATGCGACAGAACTTTGTTATTTCAAAGGGAACACCCTGTATGTGATTGCATATTTGGATTCTACGTAAAATTCTGAGCAGATTTCATGTAATATGTATACCTGAATTCAACTGCTTTGGTAATATGTATTGACAGTTGAAAATTGACTTTTTGTAACTTTCCTAGGCTGTAAAACCTAAACGGTTATAATTTTAGACGAAAACCGATTTTACATTCCTATCTTAGATTTTCATAAACTATCATTTGACACCAACGTTGAATTTAACCGGAGATTAAATTTAACTGGAATTTTTAATCATGGATTTACTTCAAAGTTGGTGTCAAATAATAGTTAATAAAAATCTGAGATAGGAATGTAGAATCGGTTTTCGTCTAAAATTAACCGTTTCGGTTCTAAAGCCTGTCAAATTTGCAAAAAGTCAATTTTCAACTGTCAATATTTCCAAAACAGTTGAACTTAGGTATAGGGTATATCACATGAAATCTGCTCAGAATTTTACGTAGAATCCAAATATGCAATCACATACAGGGTGTTCCATTTAAAATAACAAAGTTCTGTCGCATACCCCATAAACGGAGCACCCTGTGTATTCAAAAATATTTTTAACTAATGCATATTAGAGTATCAAACAACTTTGTAATTTAATTTTTTTTCTTGCATGTGCAAGTATCTTGTTTATGTTCACTAAAGGAGACATAGGCACTCTCCAAAAAAAAAAGATATATATTGCGCTGCAATAGATATACAAGCATAAAAGAGATGTTCAAAAGTACAAATTTATTAAGTGTAAGTCAAAATATCTATTTTAATACAATGATTGTGATGTATAAAATAAGAAATGGAATGTTGGAATGTATCCTGAGCATATTATGGAAAATTAGCAACTTGTTGGTGATATTCACGATTACAGCACAAGGACTAGGTTACATTTTCATGTACCTTATGTTGGTTCATCTTTTGCCCAAAACAGTTTATTTCACCATGGATAGATAGAATTTAACAATCTACCAATAGATATAAGGTCTTCAAATTTTACTCAATTTAAAAAATTGTTAAGAATTTATGTTGTAATGTTTGTAATGATATTGGAATTATTTAAGTAATTAGTGTAAAGTAGGTCTGTATAATTTTGTATATTGTATTCTGTTAGCTTCAAGCTATTAATATATATATTATACACAGTAGTGTAAGTCAAGACAGATGTCGAAACTGTCATTTTTTTTTAGTGAAATAACTTTACGCACAAGTGTGTAAAGTATTTGTCTAATTTTTTTTTTGTACACATTTTATTGATAGTAGAAAAAATTTTGAATGCAATACGTGTGTCCCTTTGCTCGTGCGTCAAAGTTCACACAAAAAAGGTTCACTTTACACACTGGTTGCAAAATAGCTATTTCGGCAAAGTCCGGATTTCTTGACTCCTTTGTTCCGAAAAACCTTTATGGAAACCCTACAGCGAAAGGGCTTTGCTTGAATGAGGTGCTTTTTTCAAAAAATTAAAATAAAAAAAGGAGGTAACGCAGAAAAAATGCACATTAAGAATAAGCAAGCAACCTACATTTGCGACCCTTACAAGCCTCACCTAATTATTATAATTCTTGAATACTCATACACCTATTTGGACCTTCATTATTTTTTTTGCTGTAAAATCAAACAGGAAATTATTTGACTCTGGTGTTCTTTAATCCTTTTTAACTAGTAGTCATTTATATCTTTTAATTAATTTTTTATTATTATAAATAGATTTTTTTACAATTAATTTAAATATTCCATTTACCTAGGTATGAGGTCGATGGCCCTTGTAAGATAAAATGTGATATTGCAAACCAGTCACGAAATAAAATAGAAATACTTAAATTACTATCATTAAACAAGCTTTCTTCAACTGCAAGAAATCTCAAATTTGCCTCGATGAGGCTTTGCTTTCGAAAAGCAAGGCCCCAAACTAGGCCAAAAAATGTACACAGGAAGAGTTTTCTATTGTGTTAGCTATAATATTCTTTGGCTAGGTGCTATTATTTATGTATTTTAACTATAATTTATGTATTATATTCTTTAAATAATTATCAAATGTTGTTAAATTACTTTTATATTATTGTTAATTTAAATTTTTAGGATGGAAAAAAAAACAAAACAAAATTATAAAAACCCAATTAATTTATTGGTTTTATCTATCGGTTTCAATACAAACAAAAAAGTACATAATAATTTCTTAAGACAAATGCTGAATTTTCCAGTAAAAATTGGTAGAATGAATTAGCAAATTTTATTGGAAAAATTAACACTATGACTAAGAGGCCTTTTCTGTCAAAAAAAAAAACAAGTCCCTTAGTAGATACAGTTTTATAATAATAACATTATTAAATATTAAACAATTGAAGATAGAAAAAAATATCCTAAGCTCAGCTCAATTAACCAGAGAAACTGGCCAAGAATTCTTGCACAAGCTTCTTGAGCTCAGCATCTGTAGAATCTGTGATTTTGCCTTCCTTGGCGATGCTTTGAAGGATGCTTTGATGACGAGACCTTAAAAGAAAACAATATGATTAAGTGCTGAATTATTACCAAAAACGTTTTTGTCATATTAAATTTATCAATTACCACGTTTATGCTTACCATTAAACCGATTTAACAGAAAACGTTCTACTATTAAACGCTTGTATAAACACCCCATAAACCTTTTTATCTTGTTGAACCGTTTTGATTTAATACATTTTAAAAACATGTTTTAAACAATTTGAAAACTGTTTAAATACTGCGTAAACATCTCAAACCATTTTAAGGGAGTGCCAGTACTGCTTTTTGTGACATTTAAAAACTGTTTTCAAGAAAGCCCCATAGAAGTATAAACACAGGATAAAACGATTTAAGTTCGAAAAAGTTTTAGTGGTTAAAACGGAAGCATAAACTTGGTAACCATCTGCTTAGGTACCACACATTTCAAGTTTATTGTAAGTTTTTAATGCCAGAATTATTGAATGTTGAAATGTGCCAAAAAATTCAAACAATTCCTCTGGCTGCTAAAACCTTTTACAATATTAAAGAATACCTTAGAAATATTATTTCTAAGATGTTATTTTATACAATGCAAACTGAGTATGTAGTTGGACTAAGGTATAACGTTTCAATTGTATTCATTCAGTTGTATTTGCTACTAGCTCCCTATACTAAAGAGATTTGAGTGGGTTTGAATTAGATGTAAGTGATAATTTTCTACCTCAATAGTATCAAAGTTTTGATGTTTTTTTTCAACAGTTTGTCATATAATGGGAGTTTTTCTTCCTATAACTGTACATTTAGTTGAAAGCAGATCTAAGTTCACATAAATTTTACTAAACAATAGTTGTACACAAAGTCGAACATATTGAATGATTAAAATCCAAGATTTTCATATTCTAAGCACAAAATTTTTGATAATTGAACTTTACATCAAATACCTATTAAATTAGGAAAAAAACACTTACTTGATGTGTTCGGAGAATTGCTTTTCAAAAACAGTAATCTTAGCTGGATCAACTTTGTCCAAATGTCCTCTAACACCACAGTAAATGATGGCGACTTGTTCTTCAATGGCCATTGGTACATATTGACCTTGTTTCAATAATTCAGTCAACCTGACACCACGGTTCAACAACTGTTGAGTGGCAGCATCCAAATCGGAACCAAACTGAGCAAAAGCAGCTACTTCACGGTACTGGGCCAATTCCAACTTCATGGAACCAGCTACTTGTTTCATGGCCTTAGTCTGAGCGGCAGAACCTACACGTGACACACTCAAACCTACGTTGATGGCTGGCCGGATACCTTTGTAGAACAATTCGGTTTCCAAGAAAATTTGACCGTCAGTAATGGAAATTACGTTGGTAGGAATGTAAGCTGATACATCACCGGCTTGAGTTTCAATTACCGGTAAAGCTGTCAAAGAACCACCTCCATGAGCTTCTGACATTTTAGCTGCACGCTCCAAAAGACGGGAATGAAGGTAGAAGACATCTCCGGGGTATGCTTCACGTCCTGGAGGACGACGTAGCAACAAGGACATCTGAAAAGACAATGATTAATTTCTTGATAGATTTTCAAAGCCTAGTTACTATGCAAAGAGGATAACTTTTAGTGGTGTCAAAACAACATGATATCTCTTATGCAGAGTTTAACTAACTTCTTAATTCTTAATTTTCAAAACTGTCTTCGGAGATTGTTTACGTTTTGTTAATGGTGCCCATAAACCATTTTTTTTTTATCAGACTTTTGAATGGTGCCTAGTGGCTCCAGAACTTCAAGTTTTATTGTACTCTGCTCACCATATTTGTAAACAGCAGATCTGGAGCCAAGAGCGCACGCGCATTACTAAAAAATTTATGTTCCATATTTCTTTCCCAGCAAACAATTTCAAATCCTTAGTGAAACACAATGATATTCTATCAGTAGGTCTACTACTGATATCAGTGTGTTCACTGCTGAGAGTAAACTTTGCTCTGATTGCCTATTTTATGTACTGGGTGTTCCACCTAAGGAGGTAACCAGCTATACCAAAAATATTTGAACAAATACTACATAAAAGAATTTTTAATCATGTCATACATCTTGCTCTGCCTTAACAACATGGGCTTCAAAAAGGCAAATCAATAACAACCAATTTTAGTGTGTTTACAGAGTTTTTGGCTAAAGGTGTAAGCAGTGTTAATGTTGTGTGCATGGACCTAGCGAAGGCATAGAAAAATTGAATTATTGATAAATTCATCCCAAATTGCTGAATGCGATTTTATTTCTGGAATTATAAGTCCAAAAGCCTAAAAAATAGCACAAACTCATTTGGCGGTCATACTTATATACCTTTGCGGTTTCTAGGTAGAACAATGGGTGGCCAAAGTAACCCGTACAAATTTTTGTCCCATGTGAAATAAAGTGGTGGGGGAGCTTCATCTTTTAATATTAAATTTGCAAAGCGGTTATTCTACAAACTTGAAAATAATTTCCCGAAATTTCTCTTGGTCACTTTTATCAATTTTTTTTTCCATAGTTCTAGTGTTATTCATTGCTGAGATATAACCGACCTCCTTAGGTGAAACACCTGGTACATAATTTAGGAATATGCAAAAACTGTGCAGAAATCAAGACCACAGAATGTCACTCTATTGTGCTAACCCAGAAGAAATTCAACACAATTATCAGCTTTACCTGGGCCTTAATAATTACCAGGACGCTGCAGCAATAATTTGTGAATATTCAAAGGCATTTAATTGTGTTAATCGATAGGTTTTGCTTGGAAAACTTTGGCATTATGGATTCCAAGGACATTCCCTAGAGTTGCTTACTTCTTTCATTACTGATAATTTTTTGTACTTTGTAATAGGATTCATTCATGTAGTAAATCTGATGAGTACTGTAGAATAAATAAATAAATCAGATGAGCAGCTATTCAGAACTAGACTCGAATCCTTTCAGGTTGCCCCAAGATCAAGTGTTTGAGCCTCTGTTGTATACAATTTGAACTGAACTTGCATGCATAGAAATCGACCCACTGCTAACTTTTGACTTCAACCATTTTTTTTAGAAACTATTCATGCGATTGAAAAAGAAACATGCCATTTGAAAAACAATTTAATATCATCTAATATGAGTTGAAATTATGTATTATAATAATAATCCTATAGATAGTTTCTAAAAAAATATAGGTGAAGTCAAAAGTTAGCAGTTGGCCGACTTCTATGCGCAGTGTAATTTTATTCGGATGTAATAGGTTGTGTGTGATTTATTTGGGGGTTTTACTATTTCTTGAATGTATCTTTACTTTGTTTTGTTAAAAGTACCTATAGCTTGATAGTTTAGGCATTCTTAAGGATTTCCACCTATACTTAATTAGTTTTTAAATTGTAAATGATGATAACTGATTTTTTTATGACAAATCATATTTGATGAAAAAACACAGGTGATTGCCAGCGACTCACTTGACGGTAGGCAACAGCCTGTTTGGACAAATCATCATAGATGATCAATGCATGCTTTCCATTGTCACGGAAGTATTCTCCCATGGCGCAGCCGGAATATGGGGCCAAATATTGCAGAGGGGCAGCATCAGAGGCGGTAGCGGACACAATAATGGTGTAGTTCATGGCGCCACTGTCTGTAAGACGTTTCAAAATTTGGGCCACTGTGGAACGTTTTTGACCAATGGCAACATAGATGCAGTAAAGCTTCTTTTTTTCATCGTCGGCATCGTTGAAACGTTTCTGGTTGATGATGGTGTCAATGGCCAGAGCGGTTTTCCTGTCAATAAATTGTTTTTAGAAAATACAAATTAAAAATGTAACATTTAAAAACTTTTAAAACTTTACCTTTTGGGTCAGTTGTGTTGTATGTACTGTTATGATTTTTTTTTTCTTCCTGAATAATTGTTTTTTTTTTTTTCAAGTTTCTGCTCTTTAGCTTTTTTTTAAATTTTATGTTGTGTTTATGTTTATGAAAGACACAAATTTCTCACCCAGTTTGACGATCACCAATAATCAATTCTCTCTGGCCTCTACCAATTGGTACTAATGAATCTACGGCCTTAATTCCAGTCTGCATGGGTTCTCTGACAGAGACACGTGGAATGATTCCAGGGGCTTTGGTACCCACACGGAAACGTTGTTTAGTGTTTAGTGGACCTTTACCATCGATGGCGTTACCTATAATAGAAAAAAATCGGATAAATGTTTTGTACAGTGAGGTGATTTGAAAACTATATATATATATATATATAGCTTGATAGTTTTACGGCTGTCTAATATTAAATGAAAAATTGAAGTTTATAGGGTTGCAGCCAAGTTTTGAATTCTTTTACAGTTTCTAAGGCATCAATAAGAGTCTCTTTTTACTTTTGAAAGCTTTCGGTAACTTTTATTACTTTTATTATTTATATCTTGGCTGCAACCCTATAAACTTCAATTTTTCATTATATATACAGTGTGATTTTTTAAGTGTGCAACATATGGGGATTTTTTTTAGTAATAGCACAACCCAAATACTAACAAGGCGAAAAGTTGTTGGTGCATGTCTGATAATCATATTAGGTGCACTTAGAATGGTTGCAAGTCAAACAGCTTACAGTGTAGCTCAAACAATATCAAAGCTGTAGTGTGAAGTACCCTTATTTTAGAAAATTCAGCAAAATGTTATAGAGAAAAGTTGTTTGGAATTGAAAGTTATGCATAAATACCAAAACATAGCCTCCTAAGATTTTTTTTATTTTCTTTCGAAAAAAATCTATAATTTCTATATTTTTTTTATTTTTCATTTCCGCCCTTGATACTTTCAAAAATTAATTGAAATCAAATCAATTTTACATAACTTTTTTCAAATTCAAGCATATTTGTAAAATTAACTTAGATTTTTAATTTTTTTTGGAATCACAAAATTCATGTTTGTTGCAATGATATTCAACACAACTTTAAAATGTCGCAATTTTTTTTTTAACGAGTTAAAACATTACTAATTATAATAGCCATATAAAAAAAACTCTCCTTAAAGTGCAAAAGTTTTATTTTATTTAAGTAAATATTAGTAGAATTTTGATATTTTTTGAGCCACCCTGTATGCTGTTTGACTTGCAACCATTCTAAGTGCACCTAATATGATTATCAGACATGCACCAACTTCTGGCCTTTTTTGTATTTTAATTGTGCTATTACTAAAAAAAATCCCATATGTTGCACACTTAAGTAATGACACTGTATATATAAATATACACAGGGTGTCCCAACAAGATACGGACAAACTTTAAGGGGTAGTAGGGGACATCAAAACAAGCATTTTTGTTTATATAAACATATGTCCGCAAATGAGCCATTTGGGCTGTAGAGCAAAAAAACTGTTTGGTATCTAGTTTTATTCTTTGCAATAATTAAATCACTATTTACTTATTAATTTTGCTTTAATAGCAAATAAATTATGGTTTACAATAATAATTCAACTCGCGAACTCTTTGGAATATTCGGGGAATAGCTTCTACATGGGTACAACTCGCCAGTTTCCTTGCTATCAGATCTTCCCCATTACGAACAGGTGTTTCGTAGACTAAACTTTTCATTCAATGACCCGACGGTGTAATCTTTGCATTGAAGTAAATGGTCAACATTTTGAACAATTATTCTAAACCATAATTTATTTGATAATAAAGCAAAATTAATAAATAAACAGTGATTTAATTATTGCAAAGAATAAAAGTATCCATCAGTTTTTTTGCTCTACAGCCCAAATGGCTCATTTGCGGACATATGTTTATATAAACAAAAATGCTTGTTTTGATGTCCCCTACTACCCCTTGAAGTTTGTCGGTGTCTTTTTGGGACACCCTGTATATATATTTAAACTAAATGGATTTTTCAAATTAAGAGACAGACAACAGGAAAACGCAAAAATATTTATTCATGGAATGCTGGAGTATTTTATTGCTAAATTCATTTATTTCTACTACCTAAGGATAATTGAACTGTATGGGAGATTTATTAAGTTGTATTGAATTGAAAATGCAAATGGTATACACAGGTATACAAAAAGTTACAAAAAATATATTTTTTTATTTTTTTCACAGCTTGGTTAGGTATTTTGGTGAAATCGGCGTCAAATAGAAAAAAACTGAGAACATCACTGAATTCTGCTTAAAAAAGTGCTTCCAGAGAGTTTTAACGGAAATCAATTATTTTCATAAACAAAAAAGTTATGAAGGTTTCACAATATTGCTCAAAATCGAGAATCGCCCTCTAGCGGCTAAACGGTTCAAGATATCAAAATGTGGTTGGCAGCAATCAAAATTTCATGAAATTTGAGCCTCAGAGTGGGGGGTTATTTTTTTGTATCTCGCTCAGAAAATCACATTTCCTATTAAAAGTTGGCCCACCCTGTACATACAGGAACTTTTTTTTTTAACTGACAGGTTGAAATTGAAATTAAACCAATAGAAACCTGGTACATCATGACAATATCCTTGCCTCATGACGTCATTTCCATTATTTACCCAGGTTTTTTTTTTCATTATTGCCATTATTAAACTAGGGAGAGAAATAGAAAAATAGATTGAATAGTGACTATTTCTCAGGTTAGTAGTGAAAAAAAAAATTATACAAAAATTCATGTAAGTAAACTTACATACATAAGTAAATATGAAACAAACATTATAAATACCAAACAATAATTATCTTAAAAGAATTATTGAAAGTCAAACCTTAAAAACAAGTAATAGTGAATTAGGATAAAATTTCCGTCAGTACTTACATTGAGACTTATGTACATACATATTGTACTTATGGAACAACAATACGCAATAATATGAAAAAAATCCTCAAGACAAGTACTTATTCATCAATTTAAGGAGTCTGAGACTGAATAGTAGGCTTGCCCAACCAATAAATTCTTCAATCCAATTCTGAAACGCTTCCTTTTATTTTTAATTTTATTTATTTATTTATTTATTCAAATCATGCCTATTTTGAAAATTTCTCATATTTAAAGGCAGATTACGTATATAAAGTTAGCAGTGCAAAGTCAGCAGTGCAAAATTTTTATGACTGGAAAAATTAGTGCTATTTAAGTGCTAATTAAATGCCAAGTTCACAAATTTTGTGCTCTTGTAGTTTCCGAAATATGGACTGCACTGCTAGCTACCCGTTAAAGATAGCAGTGCACCATCCAGGAATAATCCAGGAAAGTGGTAGGGTGATATAAATGATGAAGAAAATTAAATGCTAATTAAATGCTTCCATTTCCATAAACATAATCTCTATTTTCAGCTTTTTTTCGAATATTTTCTAAAAGCAACGCTGTGCACTGCTAGCTTTATGCAGTACCTACACATATTGAGTTTTCATGGAAGAAGGGATTGGTAGAGTTTTCGACATTTGAATAATTTAGTGCTAATTAAATGCCAAGTTCACAAATTTTGTGCTCTTGTAGTTTCCGAGATATCGCCTGCACTGCTAGCTACCTGTTAAAGATAGCAGTGCACCATCCAGGAATAATCCAGGAAAGTGGTAGGGTGATATAAATGATGAAGAAAATTGAATGCTAATTAAATGCTACCATTTCCATGAACAAAATTTCTATTTTCAGCTTTTTTTTCGCATTTTTTTTTAAAAACAACGTAGTGCACTGCTAGCTTTATGCAGTACACATATTGAGTTTTCATGAAAGAAGGGATTGGAAAAGTTTTCGACATAGGAATAATTTAGTGCTAATTAAGTGCTAATTAAATGCCAAGTTACCAAATTTTGTGCTCTTGTAGTTACCGAGATATAGCCTGCACTGCTATACCTGTTAAAGATAGTAGTGCAGCATCCAGGAATGATCGAGGAAAGTGGTAGCGTGATATAAATTATAAAAAAAATTCAATGCTATTTAAATGCTACCATTTCCATGAACAAAATTTCTATTTTCAGCTTTTTTTCGCATATTTTTTTAAAAACAACGCGGTGCACTGCTAGCCAAAGTCAAAAGTCAAAAGTATAATAGTCATATAAAAAAAACTCTCCTTAAAGTGCAAAAGTTTTATTTTATTTAAGTAAATATTAGTAGAATTTTGATATTTTTTGAGCCACCCTGTATGCTGTTTGACTTGCAACCATTCTAAGTGCACCTAATATGATTATCAGACATGCACCAACTTCTGGCCTTTTTTGTATTTTAATTGTGCTATTACTAAAAAAAATCCCATATGTTGCACACTTAAGTAATGACACTGTATATATAAATATACACAGGGTGTCCCAACAAGATACGGACAAACTTTAAGGGGTAGTAGGGGACATCAAAACAAGCATTTTTGTTTATATAAACATATGTCCGCAAATGAGCCATTTGGGCTGTAGAGCAAAAAAAACTGTTTGGTATCTAGTTTTATTCTTTGCAATAATTAAATCACTATTTACTTATTAATTTTGCTTTAATAGCAAATAAATTATGGTTTACAATAATAATTCAACTCGCGAACTCTTTGGAATATTCGGGGAATAGCTTCTACATGGGTACAACTCGCCAGTTTCCTTGCTATCAGATCTTCCCCATTACGAACAGGTGTTTCGTAGACTAAACTTTTCATTCAATGACCCGACGGTGTAATCTTTGCATTGAAGTAAATGGTCAACATTTTGAACAATTATTCTAAACCATAATTTATTTGATAATAAAGCAAAATTAATAAATAAACAGTGATTTAATTATTGCAAAGAATAAAAGTATCCATCAGTTTTTTTGCTCTACAGCCCAAATGGCTCATTTGCGGACATATGTTTATATAAACAAAAATGCTTGTTTTGATGTCCCCTACTACCCCTTGAAGTTTGTCGGTGTCTTTTTGGGACACCCTGTATATATATTTAAACTAAATGGATTTTTCAAATTAAGAGACAGACAACAGGAAAACGCAAAAATATTTATTCATGGAATGCTGGAGTATTTTATTGCTAAATTCATTTATTTCTACTACCTAAGGATAATTGAACTGTATGGGAGATTTATTAAGTTGTATTGAATTGAAAATGCAAATGGTATACACAGGTATACAAAAAGTTACAAAAAATATATTTTTTTATTTTTTTCACAGCTTGGTTAGGTATTTTGGTGAAATCGGCGTCAAATAGAAAAAAACTGAGAACATCACTGAATTCTGCTTAAAAAAGTGCTTCCAGAGAGTTTT